TAAATATTAGAATTTTTATTTTATTTTACCGCAGACTCCCTGTAACTCAATCGGAACATTTAAATTCTGTATAAACACAATCAATTTTTCTACAAAAATCTACATCAAATATGAATAAATAAAATTATCTAAATACAATCACTCATTATTTTTTTATACGGAAATTTTCACAATTTTTATAGAATTACTTTTGGCATTTTTCACAACATCGCTTTCAAGTTTTTTATATTGTCATATTAAATTTTACAATAGTTGGCAGGTTTTTTAGATCCTGGCTTTTACAATAAATTGTGAAAATATTCAGACCATATCATTATGTTGAAATATTAAATCTACTCAAATTATCCTGTACTTGTGCATTGCGTTTCAATATTTTTTTTACATGTGTCACTTCTATTAAAAATTCTTTTCTTTCGTATACAAATAAAATCAGGCTTAAAAATAAATTTGATAGAAAGATTCATGACGAAATTTGAATAAAAAAATGTAACGAAGCAGCAAAAGCGAGGCTAAGAAACTATTACATATGACGTTTGGAATTTAAAATTAAAACTTGTAATATATGGCCGTGGCTGTGAGAGAATCAATCACGAGTAACAGGTTGAATTTTACAACTCGACAACATAACTCAACGATTTAGCTTTCGTCGGAATTATCCATGGAGGAACGGTAGCATGTAAGACATAATATCCTCTCTCCTCTTACACTCTCTTTATTGCCCGATTCCTTTTTACATGTCGTTGTTTCCGTGCAGCCTTTGAAGTAAAGCAACCTTTAACCTTCGTGATTCTTTTGGCTTGTCCAAACACTCATTCCCCTTTACAACCCGATAATAAACGCGCGAATCGTTAACAAGATATAAATCTTGTCGCGTAAAGCCGCTCATTTTAAATACACGAGCAGCGTATATATAATATATAATCATTATACACTACAAATGTATGAAGAATATTCGCTTCATTATGATCCTTTCTTGATCCTCTCGCAAATATGTAAACAAACGATCACAATGGAAGGATGAGCGGTTCAACTTACGCTCGCGCGAAAAACACGAGGAAAAGTAATTCTAACGAGTCAAACTAACGAGATTGCATCTCGATCGTGATATCTTGGCAATTATCGTAAGATGAAAAAGAGTCGCGCGAGATATCCCTCCCAAATTAGGCGTTATACAAGGGGCGACGTAATGTAGCTAACGTACGCGCGCATTACAAGGCGCGTTTTTTGCCTCGCGTCGTACGCTATTGCACCGCGTTAATTGTAAGTTCGGAACATATCTCGACCGCGCTAAGAAACGCGCATTCCGGTTTTCGTCCAAGACGAAAGAGATCGGTGGAACTCCCCGCGATGGTATACCGGCAAGGACTTTTTCTCTCGTTCCGCTCCTTCTCTCTGCGTCCGCGGACGCAGATGCGCGAATGTAGGGTGTGGTGGTCGGGCTGTCGCCCCGCCACTATTCCACTGGTTCTCTCCTTCTCTCTCTCTCCTTCGTTCCTCTCTCTTTCTCTCTCCTGCTCTCTCTCTTTTTGTATATCCCAGGGCAAGAATGTTCCCGTGTTGGTTCGATTAATCAGTCGTTTTTCGTGTCCCCGCTCTGGGCCAATAGAGGGAGAAAAACTTAACGTATGTGATAATGCGCCAGCTATGCTACCCGCTCGCCGTTCCGCTGGAACGTAGGTCGTGCCTGCATATAGGTATACCGAAACGAGTCGGGACGACGAAGACGACGACGACGACGACGACGACGATGACGACGATGATGACGATGGTGCACTGACCCGCCGGTGCTTCGCTTCGCTTCGCTCCGCTCCGCGCCGCACCAGGGTGCTATCCCGCGAGGGACTCAAACTTTTTTCCCGACAACGACTCGGAGGAGGATACGTAACCATCGAATCGCTCGATTTGTTCATCGGCGAAGTATACCCTTCGCCGACCCAAACTTTCATTTGTCCCTCCGAGACAGAAATTATTGTCTAGATTCGCAGCCGGAGTGAATCTCATAGATTTGAACGATAAAAGGCGCGACGTGTTGAGAATTTTCGTCGATGCGAAAATTATGCGAATCGCGTTATGTAGATTCCGTTGCCCGCGATTGTAATTCAAACGGCACTTTCAACGCGCTCACCATCGGTTTAACGTAATATTTCACGACTTACTGGATTCGGAAGCTTTTCACTCGTGATCCGAATTAAAGTTCCATCGAGTATGACTTACGAAACGGCACTAGCGTCTCCTCTATAAAAAACTTTTCGCTATATTCGACTTCCGTTCGCTAACGCGAAAATGGTGCTTGTTAACGTTCGCTTCCTTACTCACTTGACTCGCTGCGAACGCTGCTTCTCAAACTTGGCGCAACGAGAATTTAAAACGAGAAATGCTTTATGAGAATAAAAACATCAACTTCGCAAAATGACAAATGTCTCTTTTCAACCTTCTCTTTATATCAATGAAATATTTTACACTTTGTTTAATTTAAATTCTGATTATATTTTGTACACAAGTTGGACAGCATTGAAAAATTATAATTAGACGCAAACACAACATTACCTATCAATTATATTTTCAAAATTTAAAACGTGTACAACAGATAGTCTAAAGAAAAAGCTAGTTAGCGATCGTTTCGTAGGCCAAGGAGCGTTCTTTATCAGTGTTGCCGAAAACCAGCGCGCGGATCAGAAAGCGAAAGACCATCGCAATGCCCGGGATAGACATTTCGCACAGCCGGTGTATCCAAAGTTTAACTTTACACCGAGGGGAGAGAGGGAGCGGCCGTTCGACGTGATCGCACCATGTGTGTGAGCCTGCCCCCGGTCCACGTATTATGACTACTTGTAGAGCACGTTTGCGGTCCCTCGTTGTGCGAACGAACCGGAGGAAGCTTCCCCGCGCGCTTCTTGGCGACCTTAGCGACACATGGCGCGACGAAGGCGGATGAGAGGCCCCGACTCGCCTCAGAATCTTTCCAACTCGTTCGTCCTATCTCGCGAAATGCGGGAAACACCCCGCGTGAGAAATTTCCTCTCTAATATCGTATCCGGGAAGATTTGTGGCAGACGGAGAAAAAGTCCCCCCCGATTGTATTTCCCGCTCGAAATGTCTCCTATCCTATACTTTTCGCGGCGGAAAAATATTCGCGAAAAGACTCGAAGCGGTAATATCTCGCGTCACGATATCCGAGTTACATTTGCATTCCGCCTGCACGATCGTTTAGAGCGGGTTCGCGTTAATAAAATCTCAACACCTGGCAGGTTTCATTGGCTACATTACACGCACAAATCTCGAGACGCACCCTTTAATTTCCTGCACGCGATGACGAGGATAAACGGGATTGACTATAATGACCGTTAACTTACTGCTAGGTGGTTTTAAGTACACGCGCGCTCCAATGTTATGTGTGTGCTTAAGTAACACGGCTAATTATGACAGGGCGAGTCGATACTTTGCGGCAACGCAGTGCGTGGTTCTAATTCAATTTCTTTTTACCGCTATATGATTGAAAAATTAAAAATTAGTACGACTAAGCGATAGAAATTTATGGCGCTATTTATCTAGCTGATTATTTCATTCATCATAATTATGTAGAAGGAACTGATTATATGTAAAGAGACTATTTATTGCCTTTTGTACAAGCAGAATATGTATTTGATTTGTAGTTTGCCAATTTTATTGATAAATATGTCGTGATAAAATTTGAATTCTAATAAAATTAACATCGTATTCTCTTCCTCCCTCCGCTTTTCCACGTGCCACGACGATAACGTAAAGGCAGACGAGAGTGAAAGAGCGATTTGGTGACATCAAAGTTTAATAAGCACCCATAAGCCGATCCAACCTGCGGTACGCGCGGCTAAAACTCGTCGAGCAATAAAAGCAGTAATAAAGCGTTCGTCTTTCTCACGTTCCAGCACGCGGGTGGAGGAAGAGGAGCTAGGGTGGCAAGAGAGAGAGGGAAGGCAGAGAGAAACCGTAGCACGCTCGCTGGCTCGCTCGCACGGTGGTTAGAAAGGTTAGAAGGGCGGGAACGCATTAGCGGTGGAAGGTGGCGGCGCTCATAGAGACGTCCGGTCGCCCAATTACTCCCGCATTAAATCAATGTTCCTCCACCCCCGACCGGCCGACCATACCGCCATCCCGGTAATAAACCCTGGCCGACATATCTGCACGACTTACGGGCTCATCCCTCCGGTGTCGCTCACGACCCTCGACTCGCCCGCTTGGCCCGGGGAGACATCGCCGGAATGCGCGTTCTGTCGTAATATTTGGCTTTAAATCATGTCGCGTTGACAGGCCCCACTTTTGCGCGCGTCCTTTTCCTTCTGATTCATCAGATCTCGCTAGCCGCGAGAAACTCGGTCCCTCGATCCTCGGTCGACGTCCGTTGGGGTTCGTGACTTTTTAACGCGATGCCACGAGATATCGCGGCGCTTCAAAGTTTCATCGCGATAATCTAATTTGAAACTCTCGTCTCATTCAATATGCGACCGATCGGTCCATCTTGGTGGATAAAGTTTACGAGTCTTATTTTATTTTATTTTATTTTATTTCTTATTTTTTTGGACAAATTTATGGCATTCAAGAAAGAAGAATAAAAAGGAGCCCGGAGCTGGAACGTGGCACCATTCAACCGCAAGATTAGGTTCGCGCGCAATTTACGACGGCTAAGATCTTATTCCTAGCCGAGCTTTCATATAAAAGCTTTTTCCTGTAAGCTGCGACACGGGATTTGGATTCCGGGGTAAAGCATAAGAGGGGCAATGCCGATCGCGCACCGCGACGAATTAGTAATACTTGTACAAGTATCAACTGGATAGGCTAGAGAAACGATGTCGCAAAAATATTATATGTATCACGAAAAGCGATAGACGCGCATCTGACTAAAAAATTCTAATAGGAAACGAATTAAAGTTTAAAAATAAATTATTTCAAAAAGAAAATTAATTGAATTTAACTGTTAGTATAATGTTGAAATAAACTAAGGAAATTTTTTTTTCTGCTTTTAGATATCGAGATGACGCGCTCTGCTGGACAGAGAGGTAAGAAATTTTATTACAATCGTATTATGTATATATTTGTGTATGCGTGTGATTTGTTGTTTCGCTCGATGTAAATTAATGAGCGAAAGCTTGGAATTTTTATTTATTGATAAGCGGATGGCATGTGTTACGCGAATCTAGCGATACTAATAATACAAGGCAAAATTACACGGAAAGAAACGGATTTCTTTCGATAAACGGAGGCTAAGGATATAAAAGATCTCGCTCCGGTGAGGTGATTGATACAGAGAGATCGACGTCGCGACGCAATTCCATTGTTCAAAGCGAGCGCACGCAGAAGCAACGAGCGAGGCATCGAGGTTCTTACCTAACGATATAAATCAACTCTCGAGTGACGAACGAACACAGCCGGCACACGAAGCCGTTCCGTGGACCACCATACATATATACACACCCACACACGTATACGTGCACACGCATACTGGACCGAAACTGTACGAAAACGGCGACTTTTAAACGAAATACACTTTGTGTAAGCTACTCGCTTTAAATTTACGTTCTCTTTCAAGAGAAATTCTATTTTAAAAATTCCATTTTAAAATCGGTTCTATTATTTTAAAAATTCCCTTCAAAATTGAAAAGAAAAATATTTTCTACTATTTTAAAAATCCATTTAAAATTGAAAAGAAAAATATTTGATGTAAACAACGAGAAGATGTTAGTTGGTTACGACAGTGTTTATCGCGATCTGTGAGTATTCAAACTCTTATGCGTAATCACGTTGCGCGAAGAAAAGTATAATTAATGATGGCGACGCTAGAGCCGAACGCGCGATATCGCTGTAATTAACTCTAAGCGATTTCACACTAATTGCAAACAACATAACCGCCGATTAATAACACGTTATCGCTCTCCTGCCATCGCGTCTGTGTATTCTCCTTCTCTGTCTCTCGCGAATCTCCAAGAGACGTCACTCGTAATCGTCCCGTATGAAAAATCTCGCGCCATCATTGAACGACGAAATTAATGAGACATCTTTGGCGCATTATGCGTCATTACGAGTATAAATTAATACCGCGGAAGATACATTTAGGTGAATGTTGAATGATATCGAGAGAAATTTGTAGAAATAATTATATCAACTAAACGTTCGACGATGATTTAAAAAAACGCGTCTTCTCTTCGCGATATAAATTATATTTAAAATCGACGATTATTAAGCAGGGGCGATTGATCAATAAAGAAAAGAAGCACTATGATAAAAAATGCATAAGGGTTATCTGAGAAACTCGTCCGAAGCAGGTTGATAATTATTGAAGTATCGATTAAATGCTCCGTTCGCCTTGATTGATCAGCATTTATATCGTGGGTACATCCACCTCGTCGGTTCCCTACAATTTTAAACCTGGTGCCCCATCCTACCCGAATGTCCATCGCGGGCTCTTAAGACGTAATATGCCCGTTTTCGTGCCTACTAAGAGCGCCGTTAAAAGAACGAAATGTTAATTATATTATTCATAATCGCTAAGATTATCAAGGTGCTTTTTTTCTATATCAACCGTACAGTATAATTGATACGCGATCGAAAAATTATCGTAATAACAACGGATGATCTCATCGAAATTTCGCGGATGAAAAGCTTCATTGGTTCGCGAAGTTCGATTTCCACGTCCGCTCAAATTCGCACTCGTCGCTTCACGACATCGCGCAACGTCGATGGCTGGCGCGAGTTCACGATACCCTTAAAGAATCGCGGTCCGTGCATTTTTTTGCCGACAGCCGCGATTTAACTGGATGTCGTTACTACGTTGTCGGGCATTGTTGTCGCGGTCCCCGTTTCGTTGATCGGTTTACCCCCTTACTTCCAACCGCGGAGATTCGCCCTCCCTCCTCTCCTTGCCGCATCCTTCGCACAACATTGCCCGTTCGCCGATCCGATCCGCCGATCCTATATTTATTGTATCGAGGAGACCAGAGCCGCCGCATTCCACGCGCATGCGCCGCCCGTAATGAGCGGTCTCCAGTCCTGTCTGTCTTTCCGTCCGTCTATCCGGAGGACCGGTCGACCGGTCGCCCTCCATGCCCCCTACTTGGTCCCTTCTCGTGAGATCTCCCTTCCCTCCCCCCCGCATTCGTCCCCCCGTTCACCTTTCTCCACCGTTTCAGCCCGCTATTCTTCGCTCGCTTGGCTCCCTCGCTATTTGATCTCGCCACTGTCGACCGGGACGTTCGTCTACATCCAGATACACGCGCATCAAATTGTACCTTTCTTGCGAGATTGATTCTTTCTTTTTAATTCTCCCGATCGGAGCAGTGTTAATGGGAATGTCGCGATCTTGTATTTTGGAAAATCAATGGACAGCTCCTTTTCGTCATCATCGATCGTATCAAATTCTATTAAGCCACCAAATATTCACGAAAAACGATATAGTTGCACTTATTTAGCGCATAGTTGTAATAACGTAGCACTATTAAACTAAAGGATATAAAAAGTAAAAGTGTTTTGCATCGCCTTAAGTAGTAACTTGACTGACTGGAAGACATCGCCGTCTTTAGTCTTGCTACACTTGATACCGTCAACTTACGCAAAAACGTTTCTTATTCAATCGACTCGAGATTTCTCGTTTGAAGAAAAATCAGTATCTATGTTAATACAAAAATTTCCTTCCAATTTTTACGCTTTCAATAAACCTTGAAAATAATTTCCATTTTAACGCATGTCGCAATGAAATATGGTAAAGTAACTTTCGTAAAACTTGAACTCGCGAAATGACGAGGAGAGTTTATTGACATTTGAAACGTTTTTGGGGCAAAAATTTTAAATTCTCTAAACGAGTCACAGAAATGGTTACATATGCGTGTAAAGTAACGGTAACAAACTTTAAATGAATAGATTTTTGTGAGAACCTAAAAGAACTAAAATGTTTTTATATTTTATGTTTTCTAGCATAAAATAAAACAGTTGCGAAAAATTTTTAAGCTCTAATATACGCATATGTACGCAAGTATTTCGATCTAGAGATATTAAATAAAACACATTGCATAATTTGTTGGAAAGAAAAATTCTTGAATAAAAATCTAATTTTTAAAAATTCTAAATAATAGTGAAAATATTGAAATAAATTGCATTATATTGAATCATGTAAAGTGTCTATAATAAAATATCTATATAATAAGATATTTATTGACATAAATATTTTATTATATAGATATTTTATTATAAATACTTTACATGATTTAATGTAAGATCTGAAGTATATATTTTATATGCATTACATTATATATACACGATAATTAAAAATGAGTCACTATTATAAAGATAAACGAGCAATTAATTTTACGAGAAATTAATAATAAATAATTGTATAAATCTTTACTTACCCAGGGTTACTCCGTCGTTGCCTGACGCCTCCCCAAGTCTTCTCTTCCTCTCTTATTTAGTCGTTGTTGCTCCCTCATGGCATTTACACAGTCACTCGCGAAAACTGAATTAATTACGATTAGTACAATAATATCACGCGACACTTTGCGTGACACTCCCGACATTAATGACGTACGCACACATGTGACGCGCATTTTATTACGATTATTTAAAACCTTACGAAAAATATGCGTCTATACGCGAAATACGATTATATTTTTTAATTAAGCGTGTCGTTTAATTTAAATTGCATCTACATTTTATTAATCACAGGAAAGTGTACAAATAACATTGCCTTTGTTTCGATATTGCGCGAATCAAATTAAAGACTAATTAAAACGCGATAAAGCAACAGAAAGTACACAATCGAAATCATATATTGCAAATATAATAATTTCTAATATATACATTCGACGAAATATACGTATTATTAATATAGACGCGATATATTAGTCGCAAATAAGTACGTATTATTAATCGATATATCGCGTCTTTTCATTAGTTGCATCAAATAGCCATTACCGCGATACATCATATTTATCGTAAGAATTAATAAATTGGATGGGCTAACTATCGTTAATCGTAATAATTATGAGGAGTAATAACGTGTCGAGACGTAATATTACGTCACAAGTAGCTCGCGTCGCTACCTCTTCGTTCGACTTTCGCCGCACGAATGATCGCAAGGTGACCGCGTGTAAGCAATAGCGCGCTGTGTGTCGCACAATACGAACGTCGTTCGTCGTGTTATAGTTGATTCGGCGTTATCACATATTTGACGCGTTGTAAAGTGAGTGAGGGTGAAATATTCTGTTTCTTGAATTTCTAAATAATAAATTATTGTGTTTATATTTCACTATTTCTCGTTACTTGAAATACTCGATTTGTATTATTGCAAAGTTTCAACTCGAAAATTATAACATTAAATTACATGTAAATCGAGGAAAAATTTTAATTTTCTTACGAGATGTATTTACTATTCAAGTATCGTTAAACATCATTTATCATTTTTTGTGATCGCGTTTCTTTTTCTCTTTCCTTTTCACAATCAGAATAATAGGAAACTTTCTCACTTTTTACAATTAGATCAATAGCCTCATCACACGATAAAGAGTATATAAAAAATATATCGTTTATCGCGCAGAAATTAATCATTGTGTGGATTAATAATCGTCAATGATAAAGAAATAAAATAAAATAATTATAAAAATAAAATAAAATATAATAATTATAAGAAATGTTATCATGGTTATGGAATTCGACGCAGGTCGATTTTACAACGTACGGCACGCTATTGTTTATATAACCACACGTGTGTTATATACGTACGTACCTATCTACCTTGACCGTGATCTCTCATTCATCGGCGCGATTTGAAGTGAGAAGGTTGTGACGCGAGATGATCCGTATATCGAAATGTGATTTAAAATTCTCTTTAAAAATTACGATTAATAATTATCAGTTCGTACAGTTAACGTATCATGACGATAACTATAAGTGATAATATTGACTGTTTACTTTGTAAGATTAACATATTGAACGTGTTTATAATATAGAAATTCCATCGTGTTTTTCCGTCAGTCTATTGCATTTTAATTAACTCGATTCGCGAAATATCGCGTAGTTTTAGTAAGTCGTAGTTTTCGCTGTTTAATAAAGTGCGCGTCGCGCGTGATTAATGTCGGGAGTGTCGTTCAAAGTGTCGCGCGATATTCTGCTGATCGTAATTAATCGGGTTTTTGCGAGTGATGGATGAAAAAGCAAAAGGGTGAAGAGACTCCCTTTCAAAGGAGACTTGGAGAGGCGTTGGACAATGGCGATGCAACTGCAAGGTGAGGACATGTGCAGTTTATAAGATATTTATTATTGCTTGCTTGTAAAATTATAATAACTCATTTCGCTCATCTCCGCTCCAATAATTTTAAGTGCTTTCATAATGAAACGCATGTGTAAAAGATTTCAAATTTTATGTCGTGGTATTTAAAATTATTTTTCCCTAATGACGATTGCATCTTTTGATATAAAACATATATAAAGAGTGAGATCGCCAAATATTTTTAATTGTACATATATGGAAATATTTTCGACTATTGGCAAATTTTAAATTTCCGCTTCGAAAATGCTCCGAACTTTAACGAGGTACGAGAGGGAAGTCTGTTACACGGGGAGAGAGATGAAGCGGTGAACGAGACAGGTCCTCTCGGAGTAGATGAGATTGATGTTTTATGCCAAATTAAACGATAGCATCTCGCGTACCGCCTCGTAGAGACCAGTCTTCGTTCCACTGCCATTTTCGGAAAACCGCATTTTACACCGACTTAGCCGACAAAAAGCGTGTATAATTGCGCACAATGCGGCAGATAGCCCGACAAAAATCCGAGACATCGTTTAATAGCGCGCGCGAACTTTGGAATCAACGGCGCGACAGCGGGCCGAAAAAACGGCGATGGTGCGCGATGGTCCGTGATTCTAATGTCGCGGCTAAACTAAACGCGTGACAAAACACGGCGGATTTACACGGCATCGGGCGAACGACAAGGTATACACACCTAGCGTTCTAGTATAGTCTTGGCGCGCTAAAGCGGAATGCTTTGAGCGGATCCGATACCTATTAAGATCGTAGAAAACGGATCTGCTTCGAAGTTGCCTAGTCAGGACGATCCTTCCCGCCGATTCGCCACGCATTTTTAGCGCCAACGGTACAAAACGCTCCGCGTTAGTCGCGCCGCATACCTAGCTACGCGTCCGACACATCGAATTACATCACCGGTAGCGATGTAGTTGATTCGTGCGCTCGTGATAATTCGCGGCGAGAAGCTTTGAAACTGTAACGATTTTGATAATACACGTCGTAATAACGATTTTAATGATACAGGATGTTTTTAAATGCGTGCGAAAATATTTGAGAGGTCATTTCTTGGATAATTTCTTGAAGAGAGATTTATACACATCAATAAAGTGACAGTTTTCAAATTCAAAAAGATATTAAAGATTTGAAAAAAAATGAGAAGAATATACTTTGACAGAAACAAAATTAAACACATTGTTATAAACTTTTTTGTTCGCACATGTTTAGAAATACTCTGTATATTAAGATGCCTTAATTGGAATAAAAATGATCCATTATACTGCGATCCATAGATGAATGATAGAGAAGGAATGAAAACAAAACAGCCGATATGCGAAGAGAGGCAACATTTGTCATTAATACACATCATAATAACGATTGTAATGAGAGATATACAGGATGTTTCTAAATGCGTGCGAAAATATTCGAGAGGTCATTCCTTGGGTAATTTCTTGAAGAAAGATTTATACATATCAATATCTCAAGTGACAGTTTTTAAATTCAAAAGTATGTTAAAGATTTAAAAAAAAATGAAAAGACTATATTTTGACAGAAACAAAATTTAATTAAAGGCATTGTTATAAACTTTTCTTTCGCACATGTTTAAAAATACCCTGTATATTAAAATATCTTAATTGGAATAAAAACTGCGATCCGCAGTAGATGAATGATAGAGAAGGAATGAAAACAGAACAGCCGATGTGCGAAGAGAGGCGAACGTTCATCGTTACGTACGCATGTACTTTGTGGTCACCCGTGAGGCTCTCATTCAACCGGTGGCTCGACTCGCTCACTCGTTCGTTCATTCATACGCGAGGAACGCGATTTGAATCGATAAGCAAAACTCGGAAGCGTATCCTTCCCTCTGCCTGAATCCGCTCTTGACCTCCGATGCGGCAAAAATCTTCATTTTTGCTCTTTTCATTACGAGGCACAAGATAATTAATATTAATATTCTCCCAACGAATATAATATTAATAATAACACTATAATAATGTTAATATCCGTACATTATTGTAAAATACTTGACATCATGATTCTCTCGTAGTTTTGACACAAGATGGAACGAAAAATGTTTGAAATTTAAATTTTTAAGATTGAAATCTCTCGTACGTTTGTTTCTATTCGCGCAAAATGGAGAAAGCGTCGTAAGGGTATAATCCCATTAGGCTTTAATCGATGATCCCCTCCACTGTTCAACGCAACGTTGGCTAGGGTCGAGGGATAAGGTTGCGGCGGTGAAAATAGATACGCAAGCTACCGCGGAGATACGGCGTTTTATTGGCGTCGCGGGGTTCCAAATCTCACAATCGGTCAAATGAAGACAGAGCGTTCCGCTTCAGTCTGGCGATGTAAAGTCTCAACTGTCCCATATAGATTGCATTTTGTACATATAAATATATTTACTCTAGAAAACTCATTTATATAGAGCATAGTACAACACCTTTGGGATGATTCTTCGAAGAAATATCGCTAAAATCGAGCTCTTGTTAATTACCTCAGTTATTATATTTATTGTGAAAGCTGGATAATTTGATGAAAAAATATATCATTACATTCAACAATTATAAGAGCATTTTGTAATTGATTAAATTTATTTATCGTTAAAGTGACTTCTCTCAACTTGTTTTATTTCAGTCTCTCGACTTATTTTTTCACGAAGAATCATCTTTTTATCGGGATTATTATATCACTCGTTATATTTAATCTCTTTTACAATGCTAAATATCCTTAAAAAAATAACCAATCAACCGTACAAATAATTAAAAGTACGATTTCTGTTCGCCCTGTTTTTGCTCTATCGACTTTACCATTTCCCTTCCCACAAGTAATTTCGTTCGTGAGAGAGTACTCTTGTCGATAAATAAAAAAGAAGGCTGTTAATCCACATATTCGCCCTGCAAAGCGCGTAGCATTACATTGGCGAGAAAGGCACGCGCAGCGAAGATCACGAGCTGGTGGGGATGATGTTTCGGGGTTGACGGGGGTGGAACCCTCGAAGCGAGCACGAGGCCAACACGCGCCGATGACACTTACGCACACGTTCTCAAGACCGGCCGCCGCGCGGGCGTTTCTTCGCCACTTTCGCTATGCGTGTTGGTCATCATTTCGGAGTTGTTTCGCAAATCGCGCGACGAGCATAGAACCCTTTTTAGTTACGCATTGCACGGATCGTTGAGCATCGTCGTTCAAAGAACTTCTAGTGAATTGGTGACACGTTGTGTTTAAAGGAGGATCTCATCTATTTATAAACATTATTATTTTTAATATATGAATGTGATGAAAGCGATCGACGTATATAAGGATTTAGGAAAATACTCATATGCATATCACGAAATTGCAAAAGTGACTCGTAGCAGGAAAAGAGATTAAGTTTACTTTCGGTAAAACTCGACAGAAAGTTAGATTTGAAAAAGCCTCAGAGATTCATTAGTGTACGCAAAATGTGGCAATCGACCGACCTATGCGCCTCGTATAACCATCCCGCGTTTATGCAGCTGCGGATGAATAGTAACGAATTTCATTCGTGGTTTCATTCTAGGAAACCGTCCATGGACGACGTCGGAAATCCTACCTCCGTCAACGCACGGTGAGTACATTCTTAGTCCCCGATTCGCGCTTTACGAATTCGCGTGCCGATCTTTTATCTTCCGTATGTTTTTTTTTTTTTTTTAAATAACGTAATTATAAAAATGTAAACACATGCGATAATGTGTAATGTCTTCGATATTTTGAGGCGGAAATGAACGGAACTGGGCTGAATATCCTAGACATTGCACGTGTTTGCATTTTTAATAATAATTACGTTATTCAACATGTATGTCAGATTGATTTAGCGGTCATTAGAGGCGCCTCCCATAATATAAAGGCATATTACGAACGCAGCGAAAAAGCTTCGCATCGAGCATCATGATGATGTTCCTTCGGCATTATTATCATTATTATCGGACGATTACATTTTGACGATGTTACAAGCGCTCGTAACGTTAGTTAATACCCGACACTCGGAATGTCCAAAGTGGCGGAGCGATTTCGTAGGTAAAACCTTCCCGGCTAAATCTTATCGACTACGATCTACCCTTCGTCCTCTCGATCGAGAGCAGCCTATCTGCCGCCGTAACAATTGAACCCGTAATAGAATCACATTTATTCTTATTACCCGACGAGGTCAACCGACCAGCGAAACCTCGAGACCTTCTCCCATCCAACTTCAGATCGGCTCTCCTAAGCCATTCCACGACCTGCGTTATTTTTCCCCCGAGCACTCCGCGTCTTCTCGAGTAGTCCTACGCGTTTTCATGGTCCGTTTTTGTTTATCCTCGCGATTTCTTAACGCAAAACAGTCGAATCCGCTAAACGAAGAGAGGTGCAAAAGGAAAGAAACAAAAATTGAATATACCGTTTTAAGACTAGAGAGGAGAAAAATAAAGCTGTGTCATCGAGATAAGTGGCGACGAGATGTAATCAACACCGCGGTTTTGTTAGCCGACGATCCGACGTATTTAATATGTATAACCATGACTCACACACCACCCACCTATGTCGCGTGAAGAATCTACCATTTCGTATCTTGCTCTCCATCTCGTGATATACCTTGGAAGTTAAACTGCAAGGCCATCAAAGTCTTTAACCGGGTTATAGAGATGCCGCTTTCGAGATAAATGCCAGAATTTTAGCATAAAAATTTTTTCAACTCAACTTTGCGCGAGCTGTCTTTCTCTCTTACTATTCTTCTCATCTTCCTCTTCTTCTTCTACAAGATGAGTTAAAATATAAAATATAAATATGATGGTAGTTTCTTTCTCGCGTATAAGATGGAGGGTAATAAAAGAGCGAATCATCGCCAAGACGAAAACGCGATGCTAAAGGATGGTAGGCGTTACAAGGTGCATGTCACTAAAATAACCGATGCTTCGGGCGACAATGTTTCAGTCGTGATACATTCTCTCCAGCCACCGTGCAGCCTTGCATCCGATGAGTGCGAAATTTTCGCGAGAGCAAAAACATGTGCAATTTATTGAATGCGTGAAAATAATTTCTGTATAAATACTCTCAATATTCGTATATTGCTAAGGGTTCAGACTAAAATCTATATTTCATGCTAAAATTCCATTTATAATTTTTTACATATAATGCAGAAAAACATACATTTGGAGAGATGACAAATATAAATAAAATGTGCAATATACATGTACATTAAAATATGCAATATTTAAAACATATAGAATTCTGTCTTGAACCTTGTCATTCACATTTTACATAACTTACGCTCTTTTCCTTTAAACCGCGCAAGTCTGTAAAATAAGGAATGAAATTTTGCGGATGTTTGCGATTTCGTCTTTCGGGAAGAGTTCGATGAGCGGTCGAGCCTGTCGCGTTGCCAGGAGAGAGGAGAGAGAGACTCCTTCTGTACCACCATTAATATTAATGCATTCCGCCGCGTTCTCGGCGTATTGTACTCGCGTCGACGACGGCGTCCAACAATATCGCTCTCGCGTTTCTGTAAGTGACACTCTCTACGCTCGTGTCTCTCTTCTCCGTACGACCGGACAAACCGCAGCCGGAACGGAACGGAGTTTTGTCCGCTCTATGGAGGGAGCTGAATATTCACGTCGACCGATAAATAAAATTCAAAGGAGGAAAGAGCGAAACAACGAGCATTTTTCCTCTTTGGTCGTAGAGAGAAGAAACTTTTCTTTCTCGAGTCTTCTTTTCCGAGAGAAAGAGAGAGAGAGAGAGAGAGAGAGAGAGAGAGAGAGAGAGAGAGAGAGAGAGAGAAGGTCGCATTGTCGCATTGTCGCACGATTTCCTTCCATCTTACGAAACCGCGTCGACAATGCGTGTTTCTACGTCTCTTGCCGCCACTCGATCCAACCTTAACGCCGGAATTTGCCGCTCTTGTTTCGCCACTGCCGCTGTAAAGGAACCATTATCTCGATCTCCGATGTGAGAGAAAGTTATTTCCCGCTGTTTATATTTTCTACGTTTGCTAATTTCACTTACAAGAAGGCACAAATTATGAAGCAAGCATTCACTTTGATGCTCGTTTCTATTAATTAAATACGCGATTTTATCGATGACGCGGGGAGTTTTAAGCGTGCATCTCTCACGTATCGCGCGTAAAGAAACTTGTCGGGACGAAAAGTCGGATTTGACAGATTCTAATTATTTATTTCGAAAATGTAAACACAAGCGAGCGATATTTCTCGAGCGAATGTGGTGCACGGAGGAGCGAGATTTCGAAGAGAGATACACCCGGGAGTCATAAGTATAGCCACAGGACGCCTGCTCTTTCTCGCAAATCCTTTTCTCCCCATCAGCCGATACAAAGAGAGGATCACGCGGATATTCGGATCTGATATCTATCATGGTGAATTATTACGTCGTCGGAAAGTTGCTAAAAGCTACATGATTTAATGGTCGAACAGGTTCTCTCCCTTCCTTCTCCCAGAAAAGCCTGCACACGTTACGTATACGCGATATATGCAAACATACGAAGTATTTCGCGTATTTCGATCCATGTGCTCGAGAAGTGACAGACGCGACGTTATAATTACAAGAACGTAAACATGTAAGCGCGCGCGCGTGATCCGGAACGGTCCCACTCGGTATTCTTCCGGTTCTTCCGGGGAACGATCGAACGAGCGGCGGGCAGGGAACAGAAACAGGTTGGTCGAGTTTTAAGCAGTCCGAAGACGTATCGCAAATTAGAAGAACGTGCGTCCGGCGACGTACACGTGGCGCCTGTGCCGCAACGTCGAAATTTCTGCGCGCTGCCCGCGCGGAATCCCTAATAAGTCAGCAGCGGCTAGACACAGAGGTACTCGCGTATTCGCATGCGGGTTGCTCGCGGTCGTGGAGATGGAGCGACGTCACGGATACGTGGGATTCCTCTCGAGCAGCTGGATCACGTGCAGCGGCGGGACGTGAGGCTAACTTAAATGCGAATCAGGAACTTGCGACGCCGCGCGACGCCGCGCGGATTTCGAACCAGCGCTCACGTTTGCTCGATTTCGATTGTTTTTCGTTGTCGCGCCGCCTGCCTCTCTTCACTCGCCGCCTTCGTCGCTGTCCAATTCACTTAGTCGGAGCACCTATCCACCTCGAGCGGCTGAACCCATCCGACTGGGATGCTGTCGAGGCGACGAAAACACATTTCCGACTGTCGGAACTTTATACGCGCCAAATCTCTCTGAATTTTTATCCTTTATCGATTTACAGTTTTTTTTTCATTTTTTTTTATCGCGTACGCATATTTATCGCATCTTGTAAAGTTATTTTGATGATTCGCGATTCACCGAAATCGATCGTTACTTTTTCGCGTAACGAGAGCGGGACGAAATGCCGCGCGACGAAAAATTTCACAACGCAAAACCTGGGGGAGTAACAATAGGTATTTTCATTAGTCGAATGGTTCGGTCCAACGGTAGATATTCGATTCGCTTTTTATCGCATCGCGCTCCGCATTCCGGACCGCGTAGTCGCTTCGTCGAACGGCATCGGAAAAACGCTGGCAAAGCCGACTCTTCGATCTTCAATGTCGGAAGAACCCCCCCCCCCCCCGGCTTAAAAATAAATAGCATCGTGAATATACTCTCGGCCGAATGTGGCCGAGTTGTCGCGTATCCCGGAATTTCGTCGGAAACGAGAAAGGGCGAAACCTTCGCCTTAAACATGATTCTGAAGCTCGCTCGCAAAGTAAGCGCGCGGCGGTTGTCTTATCTAATCTCAATATAATTGCGAGCGCGCACGTCATATAAAATAGCTTATTATACTATGGAAAAGTTGATTCGGGGGACTATATAATACGGGGTCTTGGAAATTAGCCTTACCCGTCCGCCTATCTCTCCTACAATGGTGATGATTATGTCTACTTATAGGTATAACTACCTACGCGTGCGCCAAAAAAAGAATCGCCCGTCTACCGTCCGAAATGATCCTCGCGGTCCTGCCTTCGTCGCCCTCCCCCGCCCCCCCCCTCACCCCTTCCCCGTCCGATGAGCTTGTCGAAACTAGTTTATGCAACGGGTTCGGGAACCAATGACCTCTCCGCCGCGTATAGTTGTACGATACCTACGGTGTATAGTGATGAAGCTTGTTTATGTGTTACAGATTTGAGGAGAGGCACTACGCTTTCGAAAGGTACGCTCTCAATTCTTTACTCAAAATGCATGCCGCTTTTCTTTCTCGTTGTTGGTTGGTCTTATTTCTTACGTGAAAGAATCCGTTTCACGCCGAAAAGAAGGCAAGATGCTCGACGATAAGTGGAGTCGAATGATTACGTGCGAAGATTCTCGCGCGCATGTACGAAGTCCTCTTTCGAGACGGAACTGTCGCTTGAAAACGCAAAACGCTAACGCGAAATGTAAGCGTAATCGACGCGCGCGATTCTTTCGCAGTTATACATAATACATACGTGTTATTATCGCGTATGCGCCCTATAATAACGACACTTTCCCGTGGCGGGCAAATGATTGAATAAATGTTATTCGAATGTGACGAAACACATGCGATTATGTAAAAGCTATACCGAGCGCGGCGCCGAATTGCAAAGCAGCAGTTTCGGGCTGTCGAACGCGCGGTCTCTCTAGCGCTCGTTGCATTATAAATGCAATACCGGGCCCGACCGTGTGCTTTTGTTTCCCGTATGATTACCGAGCGCCTCGTTCTCGCCTTATGTGGATCCTTTGGCGTGGAGCCTTTAAACTCGAAGCGTTTATCGCGCAGCTGAAAGGGCGAGTCGAGGATCATTCGCGTCTTCGAGACTCGAGGAGGACTCGTCGCGAACTTTGCTCGTCTTTTTTTTCTTTCTTTCCCGTCGATACGTTTGACTTCTTTACATATCGCTCCTTTTAATCATCCCGGATCGACACGGTCGATGGCGTTTTATTGACGCGGCGAGCTTCCTTATTACAGAAAATAGGAATGCAACTTATGGAGCGTCAGGAGGGTACGAGCGATATATATAGAGTTCAATGCTCGGTTCAGCTCGGCACAATTCCACCGACGCCCTACGACCGTCTTAAAAGGCGTTTTAAATCGCCGTGTCGTGAAAGAATCCCATAGAGATGCGGCGTATAAAGGCATTCCGCCAACCCTCCCCCCTACCTTTCTTTTTTCTTTTCTCATCAACGTTCGGCGCATCGATCTATCCCGTTTGAGCATTTTTTTCTCGTCCGATTCACTGCGCCTCTTCGTAGAGCGCATTATTGGTTTTTTTTCCCGAGTGATTTATATATTAGTTTCTCTTCATCAGTGATGTAATTTACACCTTTCGCCCTCCGATTCCTCCGCGCAAACGTTCGCCTTCTTGGAAATTTGCGATTCCATCAAATCGTGTATATCCCGCGAAACTTTAATAATAGAAACGAGAGAACACACTATATTTGAGGATTGCCATGCGACAAGTGTGGGCTCTCCTACTCATTTATTCCATAAATCTGACGATAAATAACCGACATATTGGGGGGGCGTTCGCGTGGCCCCGGATCCCGCTTATCGTATCCCGCAAATGCGCCGGAACGCATTTAAAATGTATTGAACTGTCACGGAGCAGTGGTTTTTCGGATTTTTACATTTTTCATCGGCGCTCGCAGTGCAGGCCCGCGTGGATTAGTGAGTTATTGTTGTTCTAAGTGTGTCGGTCAAAGGGAGTGAACCCCAAGCTCCGCCGCAGTAATCCTGACCATAACGGCTCTCGCACCCCACAAAAAACCTCCACGCTCCTTCTCTTTTTCTCCCCCCTTCAAGCCACCCCCATCTCCCGAATCCCGTGCCAAATAGCCGTTGTTTGCTGACGCGTCCGTTGAATTTCGCAGTCGCAATTCTCGCGGCTAATAAATAACAATTAAATCTATCCGTCGTGAAATCGATCGATATCGAAGAATTAAATCGTTCGTTGTCGATGTTTCGATTTCCTTCTTCCGGAATATCTAATGGAAAAAATTGGCGAAACGATTGAGGCGAAGGTAAAACGACTTTAAGGACATTGGAGCAATTTGATGTTATAGAAAAGGCGATACGTTGCGGTGAAGAGGCGACAGATATTGACCTTTGAGTTTGCGCCTCATTTTCATAGATACACGTTTGCGTGGCGTTTATGGTGGCACGCTTTCGCACGCGAGAATACTTTTAATATACACATGTTTTCCGCATTGTTTTTCTATTATTTTTAAAAAGTTGAGGGAAATTTGTGTAACGCGAAAGAAAATGTGTTTCCGTCATTTGATATTCATCGAGTAAAAAAGACTTATCGCGAAATTATGTGAATCGACCGAGGAAAATAAAGCCTGCGAAGAGTTGGCCCGTTGCAAGATTCTTACCTCTGGATTAAACTCGTGATATTAATGGGCGCGGCAGGACAATTCACCCCAATTAATTCCGACGTGCGAGGGAGGAAGCGAGACGGGATCTTATACGGGATCAACTAAGACCGGCGGCATCCCTAATCTGCATCGGCAGATTGCTCTGAGAATTGACACCGAGAATTTTCTTCCCGCCCTTCGAAGTGGCAACATTTGACGTCTCATCTTGAATCAAACCCTCGACCATCGTGTCTTATAGCGTCTCCTTTTACCGCAAGATACAAACTCGATGCATATATTACGCCGGTTTAATTGGAAAGCGTTCCCCGAACAACTCGAGCATAACAATAGGCAAAGGTATATATCTCTTCCTAGCAATTTTTATCACCGGAAACGAATTTGCTAGTTTATATCTGTCATCATATTAAACTAATCATCGCGAGAATGTAAATCTGTCATCGCTGAGTTAAGAGCGCAAAAAATGAAATAGAAAAAATAAATAACCACTTTTATATTTTTTTTCTTCAAATATCAAACAACTACTCGGCAATAAGGCATCACAGATGTAATTATAGTCAGTATGATAGTAGATACTCTCGAGAGTCTTGACGGTATAAAAGTATACTATAGAATTGTAAATATATGGAAATGCTTTCTCGAGCTTTTGAATAGTGCGACAAGAAGAGAAAGAACTCGCCGTTTAAATTACGTATTTAAGACGCGAGAACGAGATGCGTCGTGGATGCTTTCAAACGTCTTAGTTGCGATAGAAAGAGAGAAAGAGAAAGAGAGAGAGAGAGATTGCATTTTTGTTCTGTATTTACTCATCAAAAATATGCAGAGAGATGATATTTTTGTCTCTCGCCTTTTGAATAAAAGAATGCTATTTCGATAAAAAAAACTAGAAAAGTGTTCGAGCGAAAACAACCCTCTTTTATCTGATCCAATGTGCTCACAGGCATTCCAAACATTTCGTTTAATTAGCACCCTGCGTTTTTTTCGCAGCTCATAAAAGGGAAAGAATCGGCCGATGTGCACGTGATAGTCTTAGAGAGAGGGAAAAAATTTCCAGTCGTTTCACGATAATTAAAAATGTTGCAATAAAAGGAAAAGGATTCTTTAATTCGCAATAATTTGTATATATTGTCCGTGACTAATATTTATATCTTTTTTTCTACCAGTCGATTACATATTGTATCTCCATTTTAAATTTTACAATTAATCGTTATTGATGTATTAATTTGAAATATTTGTCGTTTGCGCTAACTTTTGATACTCGAACGGTCGAAATTTTGCGAATGTGTTTATGAGAATTAAAGTAAAATCAAAGATAGATAACTTTATAAAGTTATCGCTTTTCGTTTCTCTCTTGAAAAAAAAGAAAGACACATATATCCTGGAACAAGCGACGGTGATATAAATCTTACTTAGGGTCGGGATACATATGCGCTACAGGAGGAGGAACAGTTATTCATAAGCAACGGACCGTAAATTATAGAATACAGTGTTACATCACTGAATTATTGAAAATATCAATAAATATCAGGTTAACGCGAATTCGTATATTTTGTATCGCCACGATACTGCTTGTGTGTCTCATGTTAGCTCAAGGATTTCGATTGATATTTTCCGCGCAAGTCAAATGTGTGAGATTTTACGAAATGTAAATTTCATTTTGATTCACGTAAAAATGTTGAATGACACGTTGATGTCGGAGTATTAATCAAATAGAGAAATGTCATTATGAGAAACGTTGTTCGCGCGGCAATCTTGTAAAACATTATTCCAACTAAACTGTCATAAACGGGAGGAAATGAAAAGAGCTGCTTAATAGCTTATGTATGCAAATTCCGCGCAGCAGATTGCGCCGAGTGCTCTCGAGTGAGAGAAATGACGGTAGTCGAGAAAGCGGTCGAAAGGGTGACTGTCGCCCGTACCTACTTACCCTCGAGAAGTTCTTCTTCGCGACAAACGGAGTTTCAACAATGGGGACAAGAGAACGTAAATGATCGATAGCGAGTCTTACAATTATACCTATCGGTTTACGATATTTCAGACAGCAAACCAAATTTAAATTAAATTTATTAATTTACGCTAATTTTTCAATTAATATTTTCAAAAGTAAAGATATGAGATTCTTCCCATTTTTTTTACCCGCGATAATTACACGCGAATGAAGCAAGAGCGGGAGACAAAATAAGTAAAAAATAATTACAAGATAGCGAGTTATATCGGGAGACTGTTGCGGATCGCGATTATCAGAGGCGCGCGATCTAAATTCGAGAAGCATAATTAAAGCGGAGTCGGTGTCCCCCGCGGAATATTCCCGTAGGAGAAAGAGAAGATCGCTCCTCGATCCGACTTCTTGATCCAATTATCGCGTCCGAATTATCCGAGCTTCCTTGCCGTTAACCCCTCAATCCCACCGCATCGGTTTAAGTCAGTCTCATCTTAAACAATTCCATTTGCATAGCAAATAATCAAACAAGTTTCTTTGACATTTAAATTAGGGGAAAGAATATAACAGATCGCGTAAAGTTGCGGCGCTGCCTATAATTTCCGAAGGACGTCAACTAACCGAGCATAATTCGTCATTTACATTTCCATCGTTCCAAGAAAGAATCTAAAACGAGAGACATATATACATGTATGAGGACGATACGTCATTTTGTCATTCGCTTTTACATTTTCTCATTATTTCAAAAATTCCGCGCTTCCGGTAAAACTTTGGATCGCGCTGAAGATACCTCGAAGCTTGCATCAAATTCAGTCTGGATTTTGAAACGCGACGCGCAGAAGGAGAAGAACTCTCCCCGTAATTTCGATACAATTGAATGT